TAATATATATATATACAACAAATCCTTTCTTTTTATCGATTTCAACTCCTGCCTTCCTTCTACTTCAACTCGTATCTGCCGCTGTACTGCATGCTGCGAGACAGCTGACTGTTTGCAGTTCCATTAGTTATTTGCATGCATCAATTTATCTCTTTTTTCGTTATGCTTATTTCCTTTTGCCGCTAATTCTCCTTCTTTGCAGTCGTGTCCTGGCCCGCTCCATACAAGTATTTCTTGCGCTGTTTCAGCATGTGTCCGTACAGTTGAACGCTGCCTGGCACGTATAACCCGAGAAGAATAAGATATGCCCAGTATAAACTCATTTCAAAGTTCAATTTGTTCGGCATAGGGGAAGGATAATGCGAAAATATGGCTGAGTCCCTCAGAGTAGACAGACTGGACCACATGCATACAACTTCGCTAGTTATGCCGATAGGGTACAACACCGTAAAACCTAAAAAACAAAAGAAGAAATAACAAATAAAATAAAAAGGCAAAACAAATCGACAAGGAAAACAAGGCTTTCCTTGTGTAGCGGCCTACGAAGGCCTTCTGCAACTAACAGAGTATACATCTAGGTTGAACATTCGCGTTATGTACACCCGGAAACCAACACGCAACAGCAGCAGCAGCAGCACGCAGCAAGCAGCAACAGAAAGGTAATCTAAGCAAAGATGAGTGACGCCCTACCAGAGTAGCGCAGCCACTTGAGCAGCACGGGAACCTCCCTAGGCGCCGCATCTTTCCTCATTACATCAGCAAGTTGCAGCATTTGCTGCACTGCGAAGAAAGGGAACCTGTAGATTATTCGTACACAGTTCGCAAGACTCTTTACAGTTGTACAATACAGACCGAGAAGACAGGAAGAATGGAGCAACAAGAGGGCCGTCGGCTGCAGCACAATGTGTAAAAAAACTAACAAAGAACCTACCGCAGCAGCTCCGCAGAACTCCATGCGGCTATGCAGGTCAAGAGGGCCACTGGGTGTCGCGATGCCGGAACTGACGGGAACAGAAGCCAAACAAGCTGCAAACGAGAGAAGACCTGCATGACAGTTGTCATTACGTTGCTTCGTACTAGGCCTGCAGACACACCATGAGCATTCAACAAGGTAGAAGTTATTCATATACAGGGAACACGAAGTGAACTGGGGAAAAGAGGACAAACATATCTTCTTTGTGCATGCAGGTCTGCATCTAGTGTCGCTTATCCTCTCCGTGTTTGAAATGCAGCATGCCATTATGCGTCAGTTCAGGCTTGCTGCTAATAGTTATCTTTCTTTGTACCGTTAGAATTAACAGTAACGATGCAACACGCACCCAACATGGAATGTAGGACCTCCAGCACCGCCAGACTCTGGGCAAAGAAGAGGGGGCCCTCGAGCTCAGGCCAGGCAGAGACGTAGAGAGCCTCTGGAAGCCGGTGGTTGATTAGGTGCTTCGTTTCGACACAAAAGACTTTAGCCCATGCATAAGTACACAAGATGTTGAATGCCAACATGTACACACAGCTGAGCGTTGCGTTCTGCGAGGACCTAGATGGGCGGCTGCCCGAGGTTCCGTCCGCATTTTTGTTGCTAGCAGCTTCAACTTGCACCATTTCCTCTTCTTCAATTCAAATACAATCAAATGAAGAGAACAGAAAACAGCTTGCCGCCAAAAGAGCTGCGAACGAACGTCTGCTGTTCGTCCGTTCGCGAAACCCGCAACGCAGCGTGCGCGGTGTGGGCACACCTAAGACACCCTCAACCCCCTTTTCGGACTGAATTTCATCAATAAATAAAAACTAAAGTAGAAAACATTCACCAAGACAAAGTGTGCCCAGCCAAAGGAGAATCCATGCGCATGCCGGCCCTATTCACGACGTCTGCGTTTACGCTTCGGCGGCGGCAGCCGTCTCAGCAAGACGTTTCTGCCTTCTTTTTAGAGATTCTTACGCAAAATTGCGTTAAAATGATATATTGAGACACGAAACTCGCTTTTAAAAAATCATGCTATCCTTATAGGGAGCGGAAGATACCAGAAACCCGACTTGAATACTACTACCAACCACTCCTTTGTACTGTGGCGGAACCATCACCTGCCCCGCCACCTTCTTCAGTAGAGGGTAACGAGTAATACCTCTTCTGAACGGTGTTTTCTTAGTTGCACACACTACTTATTATCAAATTGCCGGCATTTTCTATGCAAGATTCTTGCAGCCGTTGCAACTGCGAGCGGGCGCCCCGTTCTTTTTGCCTTGGGACTTTTTGCATATCGACCGCTCCACCACCATCTCCTTAGGACCTTAAACTCCTTAGACAGCTATGCTCTTCTTATGTATTTTTTGACGTGCACAAATCCGCCGTTCACACCCAAGGGACCTCCCCAGAGCTGCTCATACTGCACCGCGTATATTCAAATTTACAGCTCAACTGCGCATGCAATTCGCTCGCGAGAGAAAAAAGGCCACACCATAACGGACTCTTCAGTCGTTTAACAGGACGTGTCTAGTCAGCTTGTCAATGTCATACCCAAGCCTTGAGGAAAGGCAGCTTCCGGAGGACACGCGAGCCCCGTCGCTCTCCCCAGGCGAAACCCCAACACCCGCAGCACAGCCAGCAGCCAACCCTGCAGCAGATGAATCAGCGCGTACCGCAACTAGCTCTGCCTCAGCGTGCACAGCAACAATCCATGCGGCAGACGCAGCAGAATGCACAGCAGCAATCCATGCAGCAGACGCAGTAGAACGCAAAGCAACAATCCCTGCAACAGATACAGCGGCATGCAAAGCAACAAGCTGCTCTGCACCATGCGCGGTAGCAGGCACTTCATCAGGCGGAGCACCGCACGCAGAAACAAATGCTGCAGCAGGCGGAACAGCCTTCACATCAGCAGGCGTTTCAGCAGTCGCAGCAGCAAGCTCCGCAGGAGTTGCTGCATCCGACTCACCGCCAATGGTCATGCCTATCGCCTCACCAAACGCGGCGGCAGATTCAGCTATCAGCGCTGCAGCGCCTGCAGGAGTTGATGATGAACGCGCATCTTTGGGCCCTTGCAGTTTTTATCCTCCAGGAGCTTTAAATAATCCTTTACTGTTGGCCCCAGGAACTCCAGATGAAGCTGCAGAACAGCTTCATATGCAGCAGCAGGGGCAACTGCAGCACCAACAAGTGGCGTGTTTGAGGGACGCAACTCTGGATGGGATGGCGTCATGCGCCAGCGTTTCCTGTCCGTCTTTCAGCACTTCAGAGGTGGCACGAAGTGTTGAATTGGCTGCTAGTCAAGACAAAAGTGCTGCAGCGGGGGACGGGATCTGCATGAGTAACGATTGTCCGGGGGACCTCTCGGAGCTAGATCTCTGCTCAGCAGCAACGGAAGGAACTGTCGACACGGGGCAGCTCTCACCAGCACAAAACAAAGCGCTGGAGGCGAGCCCAACGGTTTCTGCTGTCGCTGCAGGAGCTCTTCCAGCAGGTTGTGCAGCAGCTGCTTCTGCAGGAGGAGCAGCAGCTGCTGCTGAGTTGAGAGCCCTGCGTGACCTGGTGGAGAGTCTGCAGGCGGAAAATCGACGGCTTAAGGAGGCACTGTCCCGTCGCAGGCGCTCCTCTGCGCCCACGCAACAGAACGAGGGGGAAGCTGCAGCAGCAGGAGCAGCGGCAGCAGCGGCTGAGAAATGCAACTGCGTACCTCCTCAGTTGCAGGAGCCCCAAGGAGAAGAGAAACAAAAGCAGCAAGTGAGCAGCCCCAACGCAGAAGAAGCACGAGCCACCGCATTCAGGAAAGGGAGGGCTCCAGGGGCACCCCCCCGAAGCAGGGGGCCCCCCGGGAGGCCCCCAGGGGCTGAGGTGAATCGAACAGGGTGCCTACACCCAGGAGGTGCTTCCAACAACGGTAGCAGCAGCTCCAGCGCAGCCAACGGCGGCGAACGGAGCAGAACGGAGGACAACGCTCTGTCTCTGTGGGGCTGGAGCCCTCCAAACGAACCTCTCAGCTCCTTGCGAAGCTGCTGCGCAGATCGTTTGCTCCTCGGGAGCTGCTATTGCACTGAAAGCAGAAGCCAGTACAACAGTGATGCTGATGGGGAAGCAAGTAGTCAATGTGTGGTTACAGCAGTGACCGCTGGACCCCTCGAGGCCTCGTGGTTGCTGCAGCTTGAAGAGGCTGTGCATAGTACATTAGCGGAGCAGCAGCAGCAACAACAGACGAGAACGACCCTGTCTACACTACGTACGGAGCCTGCGCGTGCTGTTCTGAAGACAGCCGTTGAGGAGATTGGGTTTTCAGGTGAATGAGCTGTTGACAGGATATGCACATACACGTATCCTACTGATGGAGTGTGGTGGTGGTACTCGTTTGTGTGTATTGTACTCGTTTGTTTATGTCAACGTGTCTTTTTCTCCCCTACTCAAGCCTCTCTATATCCATTTCTGTCTTTCCTGTGTACTTTACACTTCATATGAGTCTGTCTATTCTTTTGTTTGGATTTCCTTTGCGTTCCTTCTGTTGCGTATTTCCCTGTTTGCCCGCACCATCTTGAGGTCGTTTGCTCCGCTGCTGCCCCCCTTCTCAGTCCACTTTGCCGACACCTGCTGTCATTTGATCTCGTTCGTTTTCGTATTCTGTGGTTTCTTTTTTTTTTGCTATATGTTTTCCCGTGTTTTTTCTGTCGCGACTCGTCGTCATTGGTCGCCATTTGTTTTATTTGTCCTCAATTGTGGAGTTTTGTGCTGTTTTCTTTTTTTATTTGCTCCTACTTGTTGGCGCTTGCTATATTTGTTTTCATTTGTTTCATCTGCAGTAATTTGTCCTTTTCTCTGTGAGCAGTTCTTGATATGGACCAGCAGCAACATGGGGCAGCAGAGGTCGCGGTGGCAACCGATCCACGTCTGCTGGAGTGGTTTGTGGCTCCAACGAGTCCCTCCTCTTCCCACCCTTCTTTGTCACTTTCTTCGCATTCTCGAGGTGTGCATATAGCTGGGCATTCAGCTTCTCAGGGTACTGCGAGCTCCAAACATTCAAAAAATGCACTTCTCAGCCGTGCCGAGGAGAGGCGGCAAACCTCCACTTTGCCGGCGACTCTTAGGAAGAGCATCAGTAAGAAGTGCATGCTCACAAGTCGAGGCAGACAGCTTGCACACAACTGCAGACCAGCGAATTGCCTGTACATCTGGATTGCTGTTTGCGGTCTAGACCCGCAGCCTGCGTGCGACTGCATGCTTCTGTATTCGTGTGTTTCCTCCCATTCTTTTTGTAGTTGTGTATTGCCATGGATATTGCTTGGTTCCTTTCTTCACACAAACAGCATTAAATGCTTCTTCGCGTGTTGTGCCGTATTGGGGTGTACAGGCATTTCCCTGTCTGCGCTGAGGAGAGGCTGCGCTGACCGGCTGAACTTTTGCCGGAGACTACAGTCCGATTTGCTGCAGTGTTCCCTTAGCCCCAGCGCTCTGGAACTCCTTTTGTGCGGCTGGACACACTCTAAACCTATCCCATTTAGCTTCATGCGTTTAAATAATTATGGATATACATATTTGTGGGTTGCACAGTATCTGCACACGCGTATGCTTATGTAGCAAACTTAAAGCCGTTCTGCTGTTGCTGCGGCTCAGAGAATTGGTGCCTGATCTGTCGAAGGCCACCGAGAGGCGGCAGCTATGGCTCGATGCCCGCGATGCGCTGTCTAAACACTCGGCGTGTGCGCGGAGGCCTCTGGATGACGAGGAGTCATTTGCTGCTTTCGTAGGAATTGCTGCTGTCGTTGCCGTTGTCTATCTCTTCGTTGATTGCTGTGTCTGTCAGGTTCACATTTGCACGCACCAGAAATCCCCTAAGCGTGTGCGTGCAATATTGTTGTGCCTATTTGTATGGCAGGTGTTTAAATTTGAGGCGCTGCATCAGCGCCTCGAACTCCTCTCTTTTCTAAACAGCAAAACCATGGAGGCCCACCTTTCCTCCTTGCTCGTGGTGAGCATATCAGAGGAGAATCCTCGCCTCTTTGCTGCTGCAGAAGTCATTTTTAAAGGGGCTTATGCTGCAGATTGAGTGCTGCCAATGCTGGTGCTGGAATCCGCCCAAGAGGGCGAAGGGGGGCGTATGGTGTGTTTGCCGTTGCTGCGGCTTGGTGTGGCTTGTTGCTGCTGTTGTTCCTACTATTGCTGCTTCTATTCGTGTTGATTCTGCGGCTGCAGCAAATTCAGGTGAAGCTTGATTGTTTGGCGATGCTGCGGAGGAAGTCGCCACGCATAGGACAGTGTGTGCGGGTAGGCAGAGCTGGTGTCGGCACAGCGAGAAATAGAATCGCTGAAGTGCATGGACTGGTTGTTGCTAGTTGCTTTAGTTTTAATTGAACAGCATGTAGTGGATGCAACCATAGCTGCGCTACTCCTCGTGAAGTCATGGAGTTCGCGGATGCAGTTATTGCTGTTGTTGCTGCTCTCTGTGCATGCTTGCCGGTGCTTTCAGGCAGCAGCTCGGGCTGCGTCTGTTGTTAGCAGCCTCGCTGGACGAAAGGGCCTAAATGCATTCGTAGCAGAAGCTGTTTACGACGGCACAGCCAAAGAGAATGTCGAGCCATCCGCAGCAAACAGCGGCAAAGCTCAGACAAGGGCGGAGGCACCAGAGGCGGCACACGCGGCGATAAAGATAAAAGAGGAAACGGCTCAAGAAGCCCCTAAACAAGAGGGCAACAGATTTCCTATGTTCCGGTGGCCGGTATTATTTGAAAGGGTTAGTTGGAGTGTATCTCCACCAGTAGCCATGGTACATTCATTGCTTGTGGGACAGAAATGCACTGCTGTCCAGTGGTTCGTGGATCTTGTTTAGGGTGTATGTGCACTAGCGGCCAGTGGCTCTTGCATCTCAGTTTGGGTGTACGTCCAACAGTGGCTGCAGGTTCTCCCCCTAGCCTAACGCATTGCGCCTTACCTGGAAGTGTGCATCATCCGTCCGTGTTGCAGCACAAGCCAACCAGTAAAATTAACCACTCAGCGCGGAGCTGCATTGTGGTAGGGCCTTTGTGTGTCTTTAGATCAAAACGCAATACGGGTTCGGTGCTGACGGGTCGATAGACAAAAGCCGCTCGCTTTTGAAGGTCATTGCAACCCACACCGGTGAGGAACAACGAATACGCCTAGAGGACCTAGGATTGAATATTTAGGGTTATGGGTGTTCGTACATCCTACCAAAGCTTAAATGGACGGCATTCAGATGTCCATGAGTAGCTCAGATTAGTTGACAATCGTAGAACACTTCACACGTCGGCACTTTCGAGCTCTGCAGCTGTAGGCTACTGCCGCTGTCACAGCCCAGGTGGCAGTACGGAACAATATTCATTTATTCGTAATGATACGCATCGTATACATAATAAGGATGTTGATCTGTCCAAACGTGTACAAATGAGGAAAGCCCATGAATATTGGTTGAAATGCGAGCACAGGAAGACCACTCGACACTACAGAGTTGGCTCTACTCAAGCGGGCCTCTCAGAAACCGTTGGTGGCTGTGTTAGAGCAAGAGGTCTCTTTGGTGCATATGCTACTGCTGCTGCACCGCGCTGCAATGTGGGCTGCGACCAGCGGCAGTTCGGGCATGCAGACGGTTGAGCAGCAACAAGAGGCCGTGCAAGACCCGACGAAGGCACTGGCAGCTCGTTTGCTGCAGTGTTGCTACACGTCAGGCAGCAGCAACAGGAGCAGCAGGGGCGGCAGCGATACAGCTGAAGGAGAAACAGCAACAGCAGCGGATGAACCCAGCAGTCCCAAAGGACAACACGAAGCTGAAACTTGTGATTTGCTGCTGTCGGTAATTCCGAAGCTTGTGATGAACCATCATGGGCGGTTGAAGGCACTGACGCGGCTGTCAGCTCAGTTGTTGCGGGAGTACGCGGCGTTTGTCTGTTGGTTGGGTGACAGATCTTCTTTTCTGCCTCTACAGCTGAATCTGCATGCAGCGAGCAGCAAACAGGAAACCCCATGGGTTCCCCAGGGGCCCTCTCTACCCTCCGTGTTGGCGGCGACACTCCCCTCAACAGTGGCTAAGGGGGGAAAGTCTCATGCAAAACCTGATGCATTTGAACGCCTCTACTCGTTTTTAGAAGAGCTCGAAAAGCACGCAGATTCAAACGTTGCCCCCCGCCCAACGCGGAAACACTTGGTGAGAGCGCATCTGATCATGTGCAGTGCTTTCAGCAGTGATCCCAACAAACCCTGAACCGTTAATCTCATGAATGCATGCATTGGCCCGCAGTAGGGATTTGTGCCCTCAGATGAACTATTCTGGTTCGCTTGTATCGGTGCTGTGCAGCTGGAGAGGCGGTGCTGCAGCGGCAGCAGCAGATCAAACAGCCCGTCTTCCTCCTCATCTAGTTCTTCGCTGCCAGTGCTGTCGCCTGGGTCATCTCCAGAACGCCGAAAGCAGCAGAAGACGCAACATGCGTCGAATGCTTCTTCCTACATACCGCGTGAACAGCAGCCAACAGCAACGGCACCAGCAGCGGCAGCTGGGCGTTGCTTCCCCCTGCCGGGTATGTTGAATGGTGGAGGCCCGTTAGCAACACCCGCTGCTCTCCGTTCCCTCCTCTCACGCGGCACATCTTTTCAGTTGAAGCGAACAAAAAATACCGGAGCAGCAGCACCACCGGCAGAGTCAGGGCAGCCGGCACCACCTCAGCCTTCGAGACACTGGAGAGGCAGCAGCAGCAGCCGCAGCAGCAGCAGCGAAGGCAGCAACCACCAACAGCAAGGCGATGCTCCCAGTGTGTATCTGACTCCCCACGCGCCCTTCCGCCTCTCCTCCTTCAGCCCGTCAGGTGCTGCTGCTGCTGCACCTCCAGCTCCTGCGATCCAGCCCTGTCCCACCGGCACACCACGGACGCCGTTCGGTATGTCGACGGTTTTTGACCATAGGCTAACATCCCCAGTAAACAGCGGAGAGGAGAGCCGATCGCCTGGAGCGGCGAGCGGACAACGGTACGAAAGCTGGCGCGCCGGCGTCCGTACATCCCATTTGAAGGATGACGAAATAGATGCTGCGCCCAAGAGCGAGCAGAATCAAACAATGCTGAAATCTGCAAAAAACCCCGAAACAGAAGCAGAAAGTGAGCGTATGTTGCTCTCGCCGGAGAGGAAGCCGAGCCACTTCCCCCCATCAGCCAACAACAACCCATCCGATTTTTGCAGGAGCAGCCTCGCCTCAGTGTTTTGTTCTCGCAGTGCCTTCAGTGAGCCTTAAAACCCCTTCTGCCTATCTCTTTTGTCCCCCTCCTTAACTATTGGCATGATGCATTTACACTATTTCCCTCTAATTACCAGTGGGCCGTTAGGATACTCGTTCTCTTTCTATCTACTGTCTATAACAAGCGGTGCATGACCTTATTGTGCCACGTCAATATTCAGAAACGTCTGAGCCTGTGCAGCTCACCGGGATCACCTGGATTAGCATCTCATGCGTGCGGTGTGGTGGGGTTGCAGCTGCAGGTGTCCGCATATCGCTAAACAAGGCCCCGACGCAACCCAAACAACAACAGCCACAGCAACAGCAAGGGGGTGAACACGAATGAAGTGCTGCAGAGGGAGCGCTTGAAACACCGTTCGGCAGCTAACAGCAGAGAGCAGGTACTGCTAGCAGGTGCTCCTAGCAGGTGCAGCATGAGCCCTTTGAACCCTCCAGTGCATGCAGGCTGGGCCATTGCCTGAGTTTTCTAGGGTTTACGCTCGCTGTTATGGTTTAGAGGTTGCGGTAGCAGGGGTGTCTTGTTTTCGCCACGATTCTGTTGCTGTCCAAGCGCCTAGTACTCCAATTGGCACGTTGGTTGCACTTCGATTTTTTCTTGTCTAAACTTCGAGAGATTTATCTTTAGAAACCCACGCTGTATTTGAAAGGCTGCCTCCTGTTTGCTTGTCTTTTAGACTCCGGAACACCTTAATATCTGTCTGTATACTCGCACAGCCCGAAAGCGGTAGCATGATGATACATAGTAAAGTGAACTATCCTGGTCCTCTCGCCACACGTCCGCCCATTGCCTAAGTATGGGAAGCCGTTCACATTGAAATGGTGATATGGTTAGGTGTGATACTGGCGTGTCTATTTGGAGTGTAGCGCATGTCGAGAAAGAATGGCGGCTAGTGCGAGCAGCAATATCGGCTTCGATATCGGCCTCTTTGCAAATATGGCGCCGCCTCCACTCAGTACACAGCTGCACTAACTTAACTAGTTAATTCATTGTCTTCGGAATGAATCGTTCAAATGCTTAGTGTCCCTGTTAAGAATAGGTAAATTTGCAGTCGTCCGGCCTCCCCCAAACTTCTGGAATGAGGCTAAGACGACACTATATATATATAT